GTTTGGATGAAAGGGTCTCTGCGAAATTATATTTTCAATTTATTAGCATTGCCGCTGCTGGATTGCGGTAAAGAACTGTGATGTTGCTGTATATGAATGAGGGAAGCAGATGGACACGTGCCAACTCTAATCTGCAGTAATCTCCTTTATCCTCCTGTTCAGAGATGATCTCTCCATCCCTCAGCAGAGGCTGAATGCACACGATGGGACTTTGAAGAGAGAGATCAGATCATCTTTTGCGCTGCAATTCGTTGATGTAGTACAATGAACATCAAGCTATAAAAATTCACACACACACGCACACCCATGCATGTATTATTGCTCTGTCAAGCCTCATTACGCAATAAAGAGACACATAAAAGGTCTTGCCTAAAGGTGAAGCACTGTTTGCACACACTTGTAGCAAACTTAAGTGTATATATGATACATTTGAAGATGTCTTGATGTCTTTTTTTACCCAGGGGAATCCTGATCTAATCGTTACAACCCTTCATTTATCAAGACAGAAATCAATAGAATAAACACACTCAGCCCAAGACGAGGTTTTGAAGCTGAAGTGGTGCTAAGACTGAAATGGATTTTCTGCATCCAATAAAGGGTATCCGTACGGGCAGAAGAGAAATCAATAAAATATAATTATGGCCCACTGGACCTGGGCATGGCTGGAAACTGATCGGTCACCAAGGCCTTTAAGAGACGCATTACAGAGGGCTAATTTTATAACAGTTTAGACGAAAGCAGGGAGAACAGCAGTCTGTCGCCAGTACACAAACTGACTGGGCCATACAGTATGTCAGCTTGTTCTTGGTCTATATTGACATGCATTCTAAACCAAGATAATGCATGCACGTTTATAGCCTGTTTCTTAAGAAGGAATCCTGTTTCTTTCTGCAGGAATAACTAAAATCTTAAAAATCTAAATGAATGTTACAGACACACTACTGTTAAAAGTTATTTCTGTTATGGCATTTGATCCTTCTAATATGCTGATTTGGTGCTCAATAGATGCTGCTTAATAGAAATAAAAGTATACATTTCTTTGAAAAAAAAACTTTTGAACAATAGTATATATATATACATATAAATATATATTTATATATACATTTAAAATTATATATA